TGTGTTATGCCCAGATTTGCTGGCCAGTCCACTAAGAGGACCATTATAACCAAGAGGGACATGAAAACTTTAGTTCAAGTATTAAAATATTGAAATCTGTTCAACTCTGTGTCCACCAGGACTCCCAAGTCCTCTGCAGTTTTCCCCCAGTCAGCACCCAGCCTTTGCTGGTGCCTGGAGTGATTCCCAGCGTTTGGGGTGGGTGTCACAAAGTGGTGCCTTAAAGCCAGGGACTCCTGGCTTTGGGTCTCCCTCAGTGGGAATCTCAGCCAGATATTTTGTGTAGTTCAGCTGTGTCCTCTGAGATTCAGGACAATGAAGTAAACTCAGGGTGCTGCAGTGCAGAGGTGTCTGTTGCCCCCTGCAGTGACTGCTGGGTAACTTGTCACTGTTGCCGGGGTTGCTTTGGTTTTATTTTGTAATTCTCTGAGTGGCTTGCTCTATTCTGCATTAGTGGTGTGACTAAAACCCCATCCTTTGAATGTGCTTTTTATGCCACCACACATCGTTTATGTACTAATGGTCATCTGATCATCCAAGAATATTCTGCCCTACATCTACTTCCCAATTGCTCTATAACCAGCAGTCTCTTTTTGTGGGGGGACACACAAGTTCTATAGGGACAAGGAGAAGGTTACAAATAGAAGCTTCAGCAACAGCAGGAATTCATTCTTGGGATCTGTTTTTGCCATGAATTCCTCTTCCAAGTCCTCATGGTGGTGACCAGGAGTACTTTGACTTGACCTCGGGCATGGAGAGAGCTTGGAAGCCTCCTGGTACTGGTAGGAATGTGAGGCTGATACACCTGGTTGAGAAGAATTTGGCTTTATCCTGTGTGAAATCCCTCTCTTTTACCATCCCTCATCAAAGATGAGGTGGGATGTTTCTGTGTTATTTCAGGATGCAGGAAATTGTGAAAAGAAGCAGATTCACAGGGAAAAGCAGACAGGCAGAGCAAGCCATTTCCTCCCACGGCATTTGATGTGAGAGGAATGAGGAGGCTGACCAGTGAGCAGCTTTATTTTGTAAAAAAGAGTAGCTAAGATAACAGAATAGTACCAGCAGAGAGCTGCACATTAAGTACCTCACCTCACTGTTGCACTAACTGGGGCATCTGGATACTGCTGTATTATAAATATTAAATACATTAAACAACAGCGGTTGTTCCTCCAGCTGGAAGAGTTTCATGTGTCTGAATCTCTGTGTGTCTCTAAGGGCTTGGATCTCACTGGTAAAAACAGTCAGTCCTAAGCTGGCATCACAGCAGGGGAGTTTGGCTATGCCTAATCATCCAAGAAAGCGTTGTCTGTGAGATCCCTGTGTTTATTGAAGCAGAAAAAAGCACACTGCACTTTCTGACTCCACACAAGGTGAATACTGCACTAACAGCACAGTGCTAACACCATTCTGCATTTTAGAGGTGGAGAAGGAGCAACTAATTGGCTGTGAGATCCCCAAAAGAAGTGTGTTGCCATCTCCACTCCCATCTTTCCAAGAATAACTTATATATTGGGATAAAATGAAGACCTGCAGATGATATTATTTTTATGAGTATGACAACTTACAGCATAGGGAAAACTGTCCTGGAGCCTAGGAAAGGGCAAATTAAAAATACTTTTGGTTTCTTCCTCCTAAGTGGAATGAGTAAAACCATGAGCAAAGTTCCCCTCCCAAATAAGGAAACCTCTGCATGTGATCCAGTGTTGGTTCTATTTAAGGGATAAGCAGTCTTGAATTGATTTAGATGCTTCTGAACCCATACCCCATGGCACACTAGTGCTGTTCAGGAATGACAGCTCCATCAGTCCTCCCTGCACAGGGTTGTTTTGATGCTTGATACAGTTCAAACCAGTTCCTCACACCATTTTGGTATATAGGGATGGGAGTGAAGCACCTGCACTGCTGCTTTTTCCTCTCTCACAGGTATTTAGAGATGCTGCTGTGGGGCAGGTTTGGAGAAAAGCTATGGAGACACTGCAGGATTGGGGTAATATCACAAAGGTCACAGGTTGAGAGGATGGATGTTGTGGTCAGATTCACAATGGAATTAGTTTTGGAGACTGCTGCAAACCACATAAACCTTATTCTCCAGAGAATTCTCCATGGAGTGCTCTGTGCCACATGCAAGCCTGCGGTTCTGGAGTTCATTCCATGCTCAGATTGCTATTTCCAGAGATGCTAAAGTCTTTCAGGGATCTTCAGGCACCCATCATCATTAGCTGTCATGTTCCTAAGTGGTCAGGGCTTGGCTGAGAACATGCACAGTGTCATAATTTAGCTCGCATCCGAAAGGAATGATGGTAAGAGTGTTGCACCAGGAGATGATTAAAGAGATGAAAATGACAGCCACATATTGAAATCAAATTACTTTTAAAGTCTGATGGGTTTCTTCTTTCCTGCTCCCAATCATGGTAATGCTGTAGGATCCTTTTATTCTCTGTTCTGTGGGATGAAGTGATGCTTGTCTGGGGAATGGTGGAGCTGTAGCCCAGAACCCAGTGCCAATTATCTCTAGTAATCTGTGTTTTGCACACAGATGAAAGGACTATCTAAAAGATTGCAAAATGCAAAATACAAATGCTGCTGCTGTCAGGTACAAGGCACAGCTTCCTTTTGTACATGCCTGTTTTACCCTATACCAAGCTGGAGGTGTTTTTGGTTTTTTTTCTGCTTAGAAAAAGGATTTTCAATCCATTCCTCTCCCTGAAAGTGCGATCAATACAACTATTGTTTTGAGAACTCCCTTTCCTAATAATACAGCAGCCAGATTTTCTAGTATGAAAATGCTTTAACTTTGTAAATATCTCTCAATTACATTATACACCGCAATGTACTGAGCTGGTGGGATTTTACTGGAGACTTTGGCATTGCTCAAGTGTAAATGCAACAAACTAAAGGAGACTAACCTGGAAAGAAGGCCTCAGGGTAATGGCTTTAAATTGAAGAAGGTGAGTTTAGAGTAGACATTAAGAAGAGATTCTCACCTGTGAGGGCGGTGCCGATGCGCTGGCACAGATGCGCAGTTAATAAACACGTGGCAATGTGTCTGCCTTGTAGATCCCTGCTTCCCCACAGAAAGACGGAAAAACCTTCGGGAACACCAGGAAGACCCACGAGGCTCCGGGCCAGAGCGCGGCGCGGGCGGCGGGCGGTCCTCCGCGCCGGCAGGGGGCGCTGCGGCGGGGCGGGGCCGCTCCCGGGGCGCGGCCGGGGCCGCGGGGCCGCAGAGGCGGCGACGGGGCCGCGGCGGGGCTGAGGCGGCTCGGCGGGGCTGAGGCGGCCCGGCGGGGCTGAGGCGGCTCGGCGGGGCTGAGGCGGCTCGGCGGGGCTGAGGCGGCTCGGCGGGCTCGGGGGCCGCGCCGCCCCTCCGGTGAGTGCGGACATCGCGCCACGGCAAAGCTCCTGCCCTCCGCCGGCGGGCCCGCCCGGGCCTCGGCCGCTGCGAGCCCGCCCCGCCGAGCCCCTGAGGGGGGAAGGAGGGGGGGTCGTGCGCTGCCATTGCCGGGCGCTGATGGAGCCGGGAGGGAGGGCTTGGAAATGTGGGGAAGGGTGGAAATGACTCTTTGGAGTTCTCGACGCCCCGCATGCACCTGCAGTGCTCTGATCTGCGGTTTCTCCACTGGGTCACGCTTATAAAATAGTGCTTCCCTTGTATTATATATATATATGTATTTATATATATTTATTTTGGAAAGTAAGTAACAATTCATATTAATATTTAAATGTGGTCATTGTGACTAAGAAGTCGTGTCCAAGTAACAGCTCTATGAATGTCTCAATATATTTTTACGGTGTGTGTGGGGTTTGGTTAACACTGCTTCAGTTTGTGCTGAGTGTTGTATGTTTGTGCCAAGGTTTTGTCCAGGAGCTTTTAGTTCATATATGTCACAGATCTCATGAAAACAAATTTAATTTGTTCATCAGAAGAATCAGCATCTTAGTGGGTAAAAGCAAAAGATTGCAGGTACTAGGAGAAAACAAATAAAAATGGTTTTCTTTCAGTGGGTGTGTTGCCAACACCACATTATTTCAGGGAATGGGTTTAAAATAATATTAGGTTTAGCTGAGTTGTTACACAGTTTGTTTTTCTGCTGTAGGCCTGTGGCAGAGAGGAGGGAGGGGACTGCCATCACCTTCCTCAGTAATGAGAGCTGGAATGAGCTGCTGCCCAAATCTGTCATGTGCCCCTTGTGCTGGGCCCTGTGGTCACTGACTCGGGACTGAGGAGGCTGGAAAGTGCCCAGATGAATAATACCAGATTAGGTTTTTTTCAGCTGGATTTGGCTGCAGCTGGTAGGGGATGAGTTAGGAAGGCACAGCTGCCACTGGGGCTTTTCTTTTTGGTAACATTCTGTTGTGATCAGAGCTGAAACCTCAGCTGTACTTTGAGCATTTGGAGAAGGTTCTTTTATAAAATTAAGCAACATCTGTTGTGTCTCGTGGAAGTTGTGGAAAATAAAGGGTTGAGGGATTGCAGCTTTAAAGATTGCAGCTTTAACTTGCTGTCTGTACCTTGGAAAAAAAAGCAAAACCCATCCTTGGTTGAGTTCATGCCAGGTGGGAAACGTCTGATCAGTTTGGTTTCCCAACTTGATTTGGAAAATGTGTCAGTGTTTAGTTTCACTGATGTAAATAAAAAAACACCAGGAAGGAGCAGTTGAGGTATTTGGGTAGGAATGCTGGCAGGTGAGTCCAGCAAAATGATTCTGTCAGAGCTGGAAATGAGCTGAAATATTTACAAATGCACCACCATGTTCCATCTAGTGAGTCATTCTGGCCTCTTTGTACCTGGGTGAGCCTTTGGTGTCTGGAAGTGAGCTTTTCACTGGGAACAGGTTTGATGTTACAGCTTTGCAGTGGTTATGAGAGGAGGGTTTTACTTACAGGTTCTGCAATTCCCATCCCCACACCCATGGCTCGTTTGCTGATTTTAATGTTGGGAGAGATCCTTAGGACGATCCAGTCTGGAATTGTAGGTGATGTGGGCCATAGGTTGCAGAGTGTGATTCTTGGGTTGAGCTTTGGAGTGATGAACTGCTTTAAAGGCAGCCTCTGCTGTCAGGCTGCATTCTTTCAAAGATAAGCTGTGTGCTATAAACTGCTTTCCAAATTCAGGCCTGGTCTGTGGATGTGTGTTTCAGAAATCTGTAATACAGAGTGGGAAGGACACAAGATTTTTCTCTGGGTGTTGCTAATTGAGAGTGACAATTACTGAGCAGGTGCAGTGCTGGTTGTACTTTTCAGATAAACAGCAGTCAGAGTAATTCAAGCAGTTTGATGTTATTTAATGGTTTTAGCTTTAATGTGTGATTTTTTTAAGAAATATTTTTTGATGTAATCCCAGCTTTCCTGCAGTTTCAGGCAGTGTTTAAGGTCAGGTTAAATATTAGCAAACTGTTTATATGTGGTTTGTGTCTTCTATTTATATGTTGGAGAGGCAGCTGTGCTGAATAATACTTCGTGGCATTTACTTTTTAAAGACTTCTCTGGATTATTTTTGGAAGTATTGGCATTTTACTGACTGGCAGTTTTTAGAAAAGGCACGTTATGCATATTTTGGACATAATGAGAAGTGTTGTTTCTCACTGGTGGTATAGTGGAGATCAGAGGTGCTGTCAGAACTGAGCAAATCACGCTCAAGCATTTCACAATGAGATACATAGAAGTATGAGGTAGTTACAGGTATGAGTCCCTGATACTTACTGTGGTATTATTTCATTTATTTTTCTGTAGCCATCGTGGAACTATGTGGAAATGGGGTAGTGGAGATGATTCTCCTTCCAAAACAGCAGTAAGTACTGAATTACTATTAATATATTTTTAAGACTTTCTGACACAGAAGATCTTCATTTTTCATACACTAACTATATGTATTTTCTCTTTTACAAAGCAGTTATAAGACTAATTTTACCATGACAGTTCTAGGGCTCTAAAAGTCAGGTTGTGTGTTGTTTCTTATCTCCTTGATATTTAATCTCTTATGCCTTCCACAGCTGTTGTACTTGCCCTGACTGCTTATCCTGCCTTAAGGAAACATCTGTAGGAGTTACATAAGCTCCATCCTCAGGGTATATTTGGGTAGAGTAGGATCAATATCAATATTTTATGGGTATTTATTTTATTTAGCAGCACTACTGGCTGTCAGAACACAAATCAAAGGAATGAGGAAGTTCAGGTGTTCATACCTAGAATGCTTGGGTGGTTTTGCTGTATTTCAAGCCAAACTGGCTAAAGCAGCTCATAAAGTTTAGAATTCCATGTGGCCTGGTAAAACCAGCCTGCTATAAGTATATATAACCCATGGAAGTTTTAGCATTGCATTTGCTGACTGTTGTAATAAAGTGGGATACCAAGTGCAGGCATTTGAGGGGCAGTGCTGTGTGCTCCATTTGGCTTTCTGGAAGCATCCTGGATCTCCCCATGCTGAATGTTCCCCTGGATCTCCGCAGGCTGCAGGTTCTGGGGACGTGAAAAGCACAGCGGTGACGGATCTGATGGAGCAGCTGACGAGCACTGAGCAGCTGCTGGCACAGCTAAAGGAGCTTGTCAAGGAGAAGGATGCTGAGCTCCGGAGCAAAGATCTTCAGTTAAAGGTGTTCATGTCAAAATCATTGTTTAAAATCCCCCTTTAGTCCTTTTTCGTATGTTTTACAAGCTTCTAATCTGTTACAGCAGCTCTGGGATGGTCACAAGGAGCTATTCTGGGGTCTGGCCATTGCTGCTTGTTCCCAGTGCGTGTTCTGTTCCAGGATTGAGCTAGAAGGAATTTATATCTAATATCCTGAAGGCTTTTTTGGGATTTTTTATTCTTTAAAAAAAAAAAAAAAAAAAAAATCATAAGGTTGATTTTTTCCTACGAGAGGTTTCTTCCTGCCCTTTTTCTTTCTGGATGTGAACAGCCAAGTATTAAATTACTGCACGTTTTAAAACTCATTGTATATCAGGTTCTCTTTAAAAAAATGAAATAAGTTTTACACGATCATAAAGGTGTCTTTTTATGAAAAAATAATTCATTCTTCTCATTAAAAAGTCAAGCCTAGAATTTGTATTGCTGTGGAAAAAATAGGGATATTTATATAATATGGTTTTGAATTCTATACAGTAGTAATCACTGTGTGCAGAAAGTTTAAATAAAGAAGAGAATATTTAAGTAATGAAAATGAAACATTGTAATGTCTCTTCAGGGAAGATATTTTTTGTTAATCACTTCAGATTTCACCCTCTCTCATTTTTTTTTTAATGGGGGAATTGTAGGAGGCAGTTGTCCGTGTAGCTAATTTAGCCTGTCATGACTTTGATGTTTGTAGGAGGAGAAGGAATCTGCTGATGCCAAACTTTCCAAGCTGAAGCTGCAGAACAAAGCCAAGGTTGCATCATTAACCTCGCAGCTGGAAGAACTTAAGAAGCAGTTACCAGTGGCAGGAAGCTTAGAGGCCAAAGCAGAACCAAAAAAGGTAAGGTGTTCTCATGTTTGAAAGCAGTTACAATTTTTGGGGTGCTGTAGGCTCTTTTCCATGCTGGGCTCAATGGGGAAATTCAAATTTTAAGCTGAGTCAGGTTAAGATCAAGGTAGACTGAGTAGGTGCTGTCAATTCGTCTGTATTTCTGTTTAATTCTTTTATTTTTCAATAGAAATCTAGAAAATTTAACATTCCCTTCAAATTGTTTTAGTAAAAATTTCTCACTCCTTCATCCTATTAGCGACTCAAAGTTTTGACACATGTAAATCAGGCAGATAAAGTTTGGAGAAGAAATGAAAACAAAACCTGTCTTGTTCCTTAGGGAGTGTATAACTGTCCTTACTAGCAAAATGTAAATTAAGTGTTGG